CCTGATAAAGACCCTTGGTGGACCTCTGTAAGAAGCTGATAAGACTGTTTGGAAAGTTCACTGACCAAGAGCAAAGTATAGGAAGAGAAAAGTATAGTTAATTTGTTTTTCTATTTTTAAACAATTCTCTGGACCCCTTTTGTTAACAGTGTTGAGCATTGAACTTGGCTTTGCACATGCTAGGTAACTCCTCCAACACGAACTATAACTACTGACCCTGAAATCCCATTTTATTTGCTTCATTTATTTTGTCCTGTTAAGAAGCTAGGCAAAGGTAAGCTCTAGCAAAGCTCCAAGACCAACAATCATAAATGAAAAATTAGTGAGATTTTCAGTATATGACCACTCTTGTAAGATAAAAGGGTAACTAACCCAAAGTTAGTATTTCTTAGCTAGAGTTAATATGTTATATATTGCTAATAATATATATGTTGCTGCAGGATTCCATTCATTCATGGATTTTTCACAAATTGAAATCCTACCTCTTCCATTTGTTAGTTGTGGCATTACCTATGTCATCTATTAAATATGAATATGGAGGTGGAGGTGGATCTGAGAGGAATTCAGGAAGGAAATGGATATGATCAAAATATACTACATGAAATTCTCAAACAAATAATATACTTTAAAAGGGTGATTACTATAGATCTCTCACTAGGCAATATTAAGGATTGCATTGGACTAATACTTTAAAAAATATATAAAACAACTGAAACAGTGCCTCACAGCGAGCTCACAAAAAATGCTTACTATTGTGATTACAGTTCAAAACAAATCTTTTGGCAGATCCAATGATTTACCTCGTTATTCTAATACATCTATAGGTATCGGTAGCTCCTTTATTCACACAAGGTAGCCATGTCCTTTCCTATCACTGTACTTTTTCCACTTTTGGTACTTTGGCTGGAACCGAGAGTCTCAGGTGTGCTAGACAAGCACCGAGCATGCAATGGTAGCACATGCTTTTACATTGCATAGCTCTAATTCTGACACTCAGGAGTCAGAAGCAGGCAGATGTCTGAGTTCAAGGCCAACCTGGTCTACAGAGCCAGTTTCAAGACAGCCAGGGCTGCACAGAGAAACCCTGTCCCCCAAAAAAGTGTGGTTATTAACACGTTGTGGCCACACTTTATTTCTAGCAAATTATTGCCTATTTTTTTATTGGTCTATATTTATGTTTTCCCTTGGTACCAAATGCAGAACTTTGCATGCAGTAAATGTTTGACACAACTTTATTGAATATATTTCAGCTGCTGTTGTTGAGTTAAATGCTGAAATTTCTTTCGTTGATATTACTGGCTGTGTATGGCCCTTAGTGAAAAGCCTGTCCCGAGATTCAGGTGTAAAAGGAGTTTTTAAAGTCTGATCTCAGTGGACCTTACACATTGCATCAGCCTGTAAGTTTCCTCTCACAGGAAGCCCAGTGCAATACTGTGCAGAGCAACTATCAAGGTTGGGGTGGGCTGTGTGGACATCAGCCATCTCTTGCACAGGAAGTGGCCATAACTTTGCAATTGGCTTTGTACTCTTTCTTTCAGAGGTTTCCCGAAAGAGGTGGAGGTGGATGACTAAGAAAATGAACTCAAAATAAAAAGGTGTTCTCCTGGTTCCCACATAGAGGGAAACAAGCTAAGGATCGTGGAGGGTTAAGGCCAGGAGGTCTTCCTCATTTTCTTATGCACTTGGTCATTTATTTACTCACCTGATAGTCCTGGGGCAGACATTTGACCTGTTGCCTTGAGAAGACAGAGAAGGCCTAGAAATAGTCCTTACTTTGGGTTTCTACTAAAAATGGATGCATAAGAGCAGTTGGACAACTACTGATTTTGCTCAAGGTTATCAAAAAAGACTTGCTAGTGACAGCCAGCATCATTTTTATCTCTCTATCTTTTAAGACGATCTAAAACCTTACTCTTCTGAGCATCTTTTTAACTTGTCTAACCCTTTGTCTCTCATCCTGGGAGGACTGTGTATTTTAATCTATACATCTGATGTCACTTTACACCTTGATTAAATATTTGTCACATCCTATAGAGTCACACAGTTTCTTTCCTACATTTCTGTTTTCCTCTTTGCTGTAGTCTGAGACTCTGGGAATCGGATGTGAAGATTGAGGTTCAGCTAGTACAGGATTATGTAGGGTCATATAGTTATGTAGGGTCCTATAGTCAGAGCAGAGTTGAAGGACTCTGTCTCAGGGTTCTTTCTCATCTAACACTGAGTGAGTACCTGAACATATTACAGAAGGGGTCTTCATCACAGTCTGCAAATTCTCATTTTTTTCTCTTTTATCTTTTTCCTCATCTTCCTTTCTTTCCAAACACAGCCATGAACGATAGTACCTCAAATGGGAAATCTGTTTGACTTTCCATTGCACTGAAAAACTGCATGAACTACAGGCATACTATATATAAGGGGCCCCGTTTGCTGGATGTGGTGACACATAACACAGAATCCTAGGACTTGTATGGCCGAGGCAGGGAGATGGCTTTATTCTGAGTTTGAGGTTAGTTTGAAAAAGATCCTGAAAGCCTGGGGTTTAAAGGAAAACTTTGTCTCAAAAAATAAAAATAAACAGTCCCTTTGTGCTGTTGTTGAAAGCTGGGCCCTTACCAACGTGTTCTGTGCTTGTGGGATAAAGAGGAACTCTCAAGCGTTCAGTACCCTTTGTTTTACTTCATATTCTCGTCACAGATGACATTTTTTTTTTAAAAAAACAAACCTTTCTGACCCCTAATAGTTTCCATTTATGGTGCTGAAGATGGACACCATTAGTTATTCCTTTAATGAAGTCATTATCTCCAGAAGTACCTTGTTTAAAAGCCCACGGGGGATGGTTGGGAATGTAGCTCATACAGTTTGAACCCCTGTCTAGCACATGAGAAGCCATGAGCTGAATCCCAAATATCACAAACAAAAAAGAAAACAAAAATAGCCACTAGAATACCTTAACTGAGCGCATACAAAAGGAATGAGTTGTTGAATGTAATTTTTCCAGAGTTAGTTGAGAGAACATAGTCCCTTCTTAGAGAAGGGGCTACTGCCTTGCTCCTACTCTAAGCTTTCGTTAGAAACTCAAATGAAACAGTCGCTAAATCTTTCTAGAAGTGAAGTCTAGATACACTGTTCTCAGGGTCTAAACTATCATTATTTATTATTATTATTCTGGTGGAAGGAAGGTATTTGCAAAATAGCGTTAATGTGAATGGTTCCCTATTCTAAGCTATAGTCACAGCCTTAGACCCTGTAATCCCAGGAAAACACACAGTAAATAAAGAGGATCAGGGAACTATGGAGTGTTTGTGAGTCAGAGAGGCTGAAAGCAACAACGACTCCCAACTATGCTGTTTAGAGAAGGAACAGAATTGAGACTATGCTCCTCACACTTTTAATTCTCAGGCTATGGTCTTTTTTGCTTGAGTCCAAACTTAAAAAAAAAACCTTTTATGGCAGGAATAGATTATTTACAAAAGCTTGACTATTGCCTAGGGCTGTATTTCCACTAGTTAGACTGAAGGGTACAATCTGAAACTTATTTTAAGTAGATCTTGAAAACATCACAAGATCTGTCCCCATCCTTCATCCTCTGTGTCATTAGAATTTAAGGTGGAAGGTCCTAAATGAGACTCAATCATCTTCCTAGTTGTGAATGTAGACGTCCCAGGGACTGCATACATGAGGCTTGAGCATATAATTCATTGCCTTCCCAAATTCTTCAGTCATTCTTCTCATCCTGGAGGTCACGTTGATTTTAAAAATATAGCATTATCTTTTATTTTATTTTCTCTACTTTTTTTCTTCCTTGTGATTAATAAAATACAGTTTAAAACATCCTAGCATCGGGAGCAGTAACTGAATGCAAATTCAGCCTTCACCCTTATTTCTGAGTGTTGTTTTTCTTAGAGGAGCTGTTTTATCTACAGTGTGTGGCAGAGAGTTACCAGTACATTCCCTGCGGTAGCTTGGTCAGACTATGGCTTGCCTCACCTGCTGTATCCCTGGTGAGAATGCAGACTCTCTGAGTCTCACAGGGAGGGAACAATGTACTAGCACCGCACACCTGAATACCTCAAGCCATGGCTGAAGTTCAGATCAAGCTGCATGCTGGGAAGACATTCCAGGTAGTGGTGAGGTTCACTCCCGATTTGGAGCTCACTTGCTTCCACAGTGGAGAAATACTGACTGATATGATCTGTGAGAAGGCCCAGTAGGTGCTGGCTTCTCAGGAGAACTGTCCTTTATGTTGTACCCACAGAGGCCCGGGGCTCCAGGCCTCCTAAAGCAACCACCCCGACTCATACAAAGGTGTGCTGCTGTGAAGATGGAGCAAATAGGTGCTGCCACTTCTGGAGGCAAAGAGCCAAGAGTTTCTACATTTTCTATTTGCTGGTCTTTAAAACTTTTCTATAGTTTGGGCTCTAAAATTATGGGAAGGGGAGTCATACCCAAAAGAGAACTTGCTCGTCTTTAGAAGGGGGTGGAGGTGAAACTGTCACATTTATTTTGTGCAACTCCTTATAAGCCGTAGAGCTGCTTCTGTCTGCCACGAAAGAAGGAAAAGCAGTATTCCAGGAAGGGAAGGCGTTCTCACAGGAAGAGATTAACATTGTGTCGGTGGAAACGGTGTGGTACCTTATTTCAGTTTTGATACAAATTTGCTTCCAATTTAAAATTTTGACAATGGATTTTCGCTAGATATTATCATAGCTCTGGTATTTGAGGATTCCCTCAGTTGCTCTAGAAAAACCTCCTTGCCTCATGGGCAGAGCCCGAAGGCAGTTTATAATTTCCTTCTTTCCCACTCCGAAGCATGGGAAGTCAAGTGAGTGTCTTTGGAGGCCGCTTGAGAATGGGTGGAGACAGAGCAGTAGGGGCTATTGCTGCACTAGCAGCTCCTTTCACAATAGTTGTGTTTTGTCATGCTGTACCCAGATTTCCGTTGGTTAGCCTCAACTTTATCTTCCTCATTTCTGTTTCCTCTTCATGATACAGAGTCCTTCCGAACATGTGACCTGCCTGCTCCCAACATAAAGCTCAGCTTTCCCTGATCGCTAGAGTTCACTTTGGCACCTATATCCCATCCAAGACAAAGGCACTACTTTGATGACAGGTATAGTATCCATTTATTCTCTTAGATTTCCATGCTGTGACAGTGCTCACAACAACGTACAATGGTTTAGATATGCCTAACTGCTTCTCAGATCATAATTAGGGAGGGAGGTCAAAGATAAGACAGGAGACGTTTTCTATTGCCTTTCTAGCCTGGAGTTTGTGGTAGCTGAGAGAGGGGACATGATAATTCCCAAGAAATGATAGGGCTTAGAAGATAGTCATGTAGAAGTTAATTATTCTTCAGAGCCAGGAGTTAGGAGTTCTGAATAATATTTTTCAGTTTGTCCTTTATCTATCACTTTTCTTTGAGCAAGTCGTTTCTGCATTCTAGCGCTCAGGCTTGGAGTCTCTTTTTCAAAGAAGAGGAAGACAAAGATCTCTGGAGTGCCGTTTAATGTCTTAGTCCCTGTGTCTCTTATTTTGAAGGTTATCAGCCCTCCGCTGAGAAGGGGGATGGGACCGATGCTCGAATGTAAACCTCTAGGCAGTGCTGAACACATGCTGGAAAACTGGTGTTGTTATGAAAGGTATGACTAAGAGATGGTTTCTTCCTCTTCTAGTCTTATACCCCACTACTCCAATGTTAGAACTGAAAAGTCACACAAAAGGAAGTTTGAGTGTAGAAAGAGAACAAATATGTAAGTGAGGACCAGAGGTCTAGGGAGAAAGAAGAAGGTAATTGCCTAAGGCCACGCAGAGAACCTACAGCACAGCTCAGTCTAATCACAGGCCAGGGCTTTTGTGCCCAGCTGTAGGACTGAGACATCAGAAAGTAGAGGTGCCTTGCAACTGAGGCAGGTGGCTCCTTTTCTATTGGAAGAAATCTGGATATTTCAGCATGGCCCTGAGTACTTCTTCTTCACTAATCTATTTCTTGTTATATGGCTTACTCTGGATACTTAGAGATCTTTGGGTAAAACCTCATGCCTCTTTTACCAAGATTCTGCCATCCAATTTCCCTGGTGACACCCGATCTATCGGTCTCTTTGGGAACAGCTTTCTGGAGCTAGCCAATAAAGGATGTTGTGCTCTCATGGGGATAAATGATGCTATTTCGAATCAGATCACGACAAATAGAAGAGTTTAGGAACCCTTCAATTACCACCGCATGAAGTCATCTATCTCCTCATTCTACAGGTCTGACTGAACTGTTTTGAATTTTCCAACTGAACTTGCTTTTCTTCTATGTACTCCTTTGAACAGGTGCAGCAAGCATCAGAAGTGAAAATGAAACTGGCCTACATCCAGCTTAATGACGGACTCCTTCCATCGATGCTGGGAAAAAGTATTTATAATATTTTTTATTCCTCGTACTGACTCTTTAGCCCCTCTCATACCTCTCTTCCAGGCTTCCTGAGGTGTTTGGGGTCAGATAGGGCATTCAGGAGGCTATGGATGTCTCTGGAGTGTCCAACTCTTCTTACAGCAGCTGATAGGCAGTGGAGAGGATGACAGGGAGCAGTAGCAACTAACTGTCCATTACCCTTTTCCTTGCTCCTGTAACTACAAGCTCTTCTAATCAGTTTCCTTGGATTTTACTAGCTCCGAAACCTGAAGCAAGGTCTCTTTAAGCACCTTCATAAGAAGCTATAGAAATCTCACCAGACAACTTTCAATCACCTTGACATGTAAGACTTCTGTCCACGTCTCTAGAGAAGACAAATTGAGGCCTAAGAAAGGCTTTGTCCCAGCTGTGATTGGCTAGGATTAGTATCTAATTTTGTCTGATTCTTTCCACTGTACCACATGTGGTGGCCATGACAGCTGCCATGTTAGAAAGTCACACTTTTGGGAGATGTGGGGTGGATTTGGAGACTGAGAGAAAAGTTGGGGAGTAGAAAAGACAATTTTGATTTTTTAGCTTTTAAGTCATCAAATTGGAGCGATGTGTTAACCTCTTATATCTAAGAATTTAGAAAAGGCAGCATATTTTTGTTAAAATACCATTCAGGGAAGTTTTTCTTTCCTAGTAATCTTGGGATGTTTGCCACTTTTTGTGCCGGTGCTTAATATAGGCTATTTACCTTTTTTCAAACCTATATTTAGTTCTGGGCAGGACAAAATTTGATAATGGCAAGCTGGCATTTTGAACAATAGGATTTGTGTAATGCAAAAGACAACCTCCAGTTCCAGGTGTGGCTCTTCTGGCAGTTTCCTTACTGCCCCAGTGACTGTGAGTTCAAACAGCTTAACGATGCCCTGCAAAATCCGCTGTCCTGTTTTGTTCTTTGTTGCTGTTCTCCCTTTCTGCAGGGGGAGATAAGACAGGAAAATGCAATGCCGAGGAAAGCTGAGGGACACAATGGGATGACATATGATATAACCCCCAAACTCTAAAGGACTTATTATATGACTTCCCCCAAACTTCCTTTTCTCATTTTTAATCTTGACTTAGTAAAGCCAGGCGACTTAAAAGGGAATTTTAAGTATTCGCTTGTAACTATCTATGTGACATCTGGCTAAAGCCCCAAGAAATTACTGCTTCAATTTTGCTAAACAAATTGTCAATCATTTTTTTTCATCCTGTTATTCATTTCATTTATTTATTTCAATTTTAAAAACACATTTTAGTCACCTTTTTTCTGTACAAGGAATCAAATACAGAGTTTTATACATGCTAGCCAAATGCTCTTCCACAGAGTTTTATCCCTAGGCATTGTTTTTATTCTTTTTTGTATGAGATAGGCTCATATTACATAGCTTAGGATGGCCTCAAACCTGAAGTTCTCCTACCTCTAAGAAAGCTGATATTCAGACATGTACTATCATAACTGGGTATAACTACAAATTTTGAGCATTTGCTAAACACGTATTAAATGAATGTCTTTATATGCTTTATCAATACTGTCACAATGACTTCCTGCACATTCTTGTGGCTGTAAAAAACTAGGTGTGAGGGACATAAAATCACTTATCTAAGCTGCATAGCTAGCTAATGGCAGAGCTAGAATTCAAGACCATTTTTAAAACTCAAAGTCATGCTGAGAACACAGCGTGAAGGAAGTGGATAAAGGGAAGGAACAAGGATGTCGTCTTTGAGGCTTTTCAAATCAGGGAGGCAGGATGACTACCAAACTGCTGCCCTTTTTCAGCTGAATAGAAGAGTTAAGTGTGGCTTGGGTCACAGAGTACTCAGGATCCTTGGTTTGGTATGGCGCCTTAGGCCTATTTTGCTCCCTCCCCTCTTTCAGTGTTTCAGCTGGTCAGGTCAGCCTCTGTGTTTGCCTGAGGCTCGGGGGGGGGGGGGGGGAGTTCTAACTTCGTCAGCATATCCCTTCTCTTTCTAGGTGCATGTCTTCTAGGATGTGCTTGCTGCCCAGTGGATGCTCCTGACCTGGCCTTCTGCAGTGTCACGCTCCGTGTATTTGACAAGCTGAGTTGGACACTCTGTGTGGTAGAGTGTCAGTTTGTCAAATACCCCAAGTGTGGCTCCTGCCTAGCATCTCCAGGCCCAGGGCAGAGCAAATAGCCTGCTGCCTATATACAAATGTTTATGAACCGACACCCTCTCTTAAGGTACTCTATGGTTCTGAGGGAACTGTAACATTTCAGCAGGAGACATCAGAGTAAGGAAGGTGCAGCTCCGGGGCCTACACATCTGGGATCTATCTACACACCTTGTGAGAATGCCGTGGAATGCCCAATGGGATTAAAAATATATTAAGGGATACCAAGAAGGATGTGCAATTTGATTTATTATTAATGTCTTCTTTCACATTCCTCTTCCTGCAGCCAGAACACCAGAGTTTTCTACAAGCATCTTGACTTCAATAAGAAAGTAGGACATAGAAAGCCACTTTCGTGTCCTTGGAGCACACGTTGACCTTACCTGCATTTTCTCTTTTTCTCTTTTCTTTTGTCCTTCTCAAAGTACTCTTTCTGCTTCTCTTCCATGTACGTTCAGACCCCACCAAATTCCAAACACTCTGGGCAGTTTGGAACATCGACCTATACTTTTTCTTTACTCCTTGACTAGATCCAGGTATGTACTCTTATATTTCTCGCCACCCAATACATCCCCCTAAATTGTCAGTGAATTTTTCCAGGGTATATTCTTAAATTCCCTGTTACATTGTTAAGAGTCTAGAGCATATTATATTTACTTGATTGCTGTCTTCCCTACTATTGTCCAGCATTTTAATTTGTTTAATAAATGTTTATCAATTAATTGATTTTCTACTAGTCCATTGCCTTTGGTGTAATATCACGCAGGGTTTTGTGAAAAAAAAAATCAAACTGTGTGTGTTCCAATGCTATAGTGTACACAAGTAGAAACCAAAGGGGTTTTTTTTCCTGAGAAATAAGACTTAGGACTGGAGAAAGGGGGGGGAATAAAAATAGACTCAGAGGGCAAGTGAATTTTGGAATTGTTTGTTTATGTGGAGCTTTTAAACAGAATTTTCCGAGCCTTTAATATTTGCTGCACTTTAATTTAATACTGTACCGAATGAACTTTAATATAGAACTATAGAAAGGGATTTCCAATATCTATCTCCAGAGTCTAATATTTCATGATATATATTTTGGGAAGTTTCTCTAGAGAAATTCCTTACTTTCCCTCTGTTCTGGAGATACCTAATTTCACTCTAACTTCCCATGCATCAGCCAGCTACCTCAATGACAAGACCGATCTTGTCATCCCGTTTTTTGCTTAGAAGAGTCAAAGGGCTGCCTCTCTTTACAGGAAGGACTTACTGGCTTATCCTGCATGGGAAAACATCTTAGTTTAGGGGCAAAAGCCATCGTCAGAAGATGTCTGCTGCAATGCACACAGACTGCTAAAAATCCACGGGTCTCACTTCCAGTCTTTGTAGCCATTGTCTTGATGTGTGTTACTTTTGACAAGTCATCAATTCTCTCTGAGCTGCGTTTCCCATCTTGTGATATGTGAATGCTCAGATCAGTAGTCCTTACGCTTTTTCAAATGAAAGACCACGAGACATCCCTGGTGGTTCCTGTGTTGGGGTTTTCCTGCATTTGTGACTAATTTTACTAGAGAATTTTCAATAAAAATTCTCTCCTCAAGTCCAGAGATTATTTTTCTTTCTTTTTAGCAGAATAAGATAAATGAGTGTTTTTAAAAGGCTTGAGGGGGCTGGGCTAAGATCTGTTTCATGAAGGAAGCTGAGGTTTCTACTGAGTGGGGCCGCTGCTGTGGAGGCTTGTAAGCGAAATGGAGAAGAAGAAGTGATCCTTCTCATCAGTTATGTGTGAGCTAGCATTCAGCAAGGAAGAAACTGCTGAGGTTTTGATCACGGACTTGGCAGCAGTAGTGGGGGCAAAATGTGGGGGTCTCTTACTTGCTCGTTTTTGTGTACTATTTTGACTTTTGTAATCATCTCAAAGTGCGAGCAGCTCTTGTTGAAACTATAGACAACATAGTCACTCTCAGGAATAGTAAAGAAGTTGATTTGCTATGACATACATGGGTGAAAGGAAGCAGTACAAACCTGACCTCAAACTATTTCTAGACAAGGGAATTTTATTCAATGGTACATAAATATATAGCTCTCCCCTCCTCTTCTCTTCCTTCTTGTCCCCTCCCCTCCCTTTCCCTTTTCTTCCTTTCCTTCCCTTCTCCCTTCTTTCCCTTTACTCCCTCACTTCCCCTTCCCTTTCCCTTCCCTCCCCATTCCCTCCTTTATCCTCCTTTCCCTTTCCTTTCCTTAAAAAAGAATCTGTTACACTTAACCCTCTCCACATTGCAAAAAGATTTCAGGAGTTAAAGAAAATAACCGATGAATATTGCAACTAACCCAAAAATTTTAGTGATATTACACACATGTTTTAAAAAAAGGAAACTACTTCATATCTACGTTCGTTGTCCTTTGAGAAAGAAGTAGGGCTTCTTACCACACTTCCTGTTGCCCTAAGAAGAGTCACTAAGTAGAACTGAAATGAAGATGGAACAGGGAAATGGATATTCTGTAGAATACTGTTTAGAAGAGGTTGCTTTGTTTTAGATAGGGTTATCCACGGTGGGAGAAGGGAAATGGCGTGAGTTGGAAAGTGAAAGATCAAGTAACCAAAAAAACAAACTGACAGCAACAAAAATCTATGGGATAGTTTAACCTAGCATTATAGACCTACAGTCCCAGCTTCTTGGAAGGCTAAGGCAACTGGCAAGTTCAAAGCCTAGAGTGAAATAAAGGCAAGCCTGGGCAAGTTAATGAGATCTCATACAAATAAAATGTTAAATAAATACAAGAATATAGCTTAGTAACAGAGTACTTGGTTAATGCTGGTTAAATTTCTTGTAAAACACAAACACACACACACACAATTTCTTGTAAAACACACACACAGACACAGAGAAGAAAAGTGTGTGGTCTATATTTCTAGGGGAGCTTACCATCTTATTTAGTCTCATTTTAGGTAGGTCCTACTGTGTCTTAAGACAAACACAACTGAAGTTGCTGTCATGATTAAACATTTATTACCACCAGAAGAACAGAACACAACAGAACAGTGTAGGAACAGATGTGTACCTTGGCCTTTGATTTGGCGATATTAATTAAAAGTCCTCTGGCTTTAGAGAAAAGGACATAATTATGACCAAAGATGATTGCCCAAGTTGGTAGGACTGAGCCTCATCTGATTTTCTGGTGATGCTTTGAGGCATGAAAAAGAACCTCTAGGGCTCTGGGAAATTCTCTGGTGTTTTCAGAGGAGGTGTGGAGGCCACAGACAGGAACATAGAAGGGTCCAGGGCCAAACTCAGAAACTAGCTTTCTTGAGGGGCACATGGTAAATTCTTAGCCAAACCAGGTTTTCCCAGTGGCTCCACCAATGGCAGAGTTGATACTTTAGGTTGTCTAGAAAGAAAGGAAGCAAGCAAGCAAGCTTAAAGAGCTAAATAATCATAGGCAGTTATGTCAGTAGACCTTGACTTAGTGGGACATTTTAGCAGATGCTATTGTCTTCGGTAGCAACAACTTCGTAGTTTCAGGGAATTGTGTGAAGCAGGCAGGAATGAATAGTCATCGCTGATCTGGGTGGTTATCTAGTACTCCTGGCCCAGGCAAGGACTCATCAGACTAGTCCTTGATCAGAGCATGGGAATCTGGTTCATCATTGAAGTACCCATTTGTGAAGGTCATCACCTCTGTGGTTTCTTCAGAGTTTCTGATCTCCTTGACACACACCCTGTGGACCAAGAGCCAATTACTCATGAGAAAGATCTTGGCTTAGATCCTGCCTTCTAGCTCCTAAGTTCTTATTCACTGACTCCCAGGATCCTGTTAGGCAGGGACTCTGGGGACAGAAAGTCGGTATACCTAAATCATCTTGTGCATTCATTGATCCAGGATAAAACATGAGAACATTCATCTGCGAGGGTAAAATATTTTCTGACCCTGACGGACTCTGCCAGGGCTAGTCTCCAGGTTTTCTGCCAGCGACCAACAGAATTTAGGGCATTGAATGGTTAATATGTCAGAAAAGTGTGTATCTTACCTGTTTAGTTCATACACATGCTCTAGAAAACAAGGAAGAATCAGGTTAGAAATTTATATGGAGAGTTTACAGGAGCTAAGTATGAAACCTCAGTACCAGTCCAAACATGAGGGAAGGAAACAGAAGAGAATTCAGGGTACCAGCTTTGTAATATTGAGGGATGTTGTCATGAGTTAAAATACAGGGACACAGATTTTTCAGAGAAGTGGATGGCACACAACCTTGTTCTCCATCCCCTTTGCCATTTCTGACTCAGGCCATCAAGCTGAAGATATTGTTTGGTATGGGTCAAGGGAAAACACACCAGACTTGTTCTTCACCCAGGATTCTCATCAAAGATTCTAAGAAAATTCTCTTGGAAACTTGATTACCCAGCTACAACCCAGGAAAATGCACTGAATTTGGTTCCATGTCAGGGACCATAACCCAATCCATTTTCAAGTGCACTGACACTGACTCAAGAAAGGGCTCAGTTCTTACATAACCTCTTTTACCACATGTTTATGAATATGTATACATATATGTATATGTATGTGTGTACATATGCATGTGTATATGATTTATAACATACATGGAAAAGTTGGTATTTCTTTGAATTAATAGAATATTATTACTTAAAGTCTAAAAACTAAAAGGACCCCAACTAGATAGTCATCGCCCCCTAGTGTCTGTGGAGAACTGTCCTCTAATCAAGAGCACTAACCTGGCACAAAGATGGGTAGTTCTTGATACAGCCCTCTTCCCTCTAGATGCGTATGATCTTTTAGGGTAGCAACTGGAAATCCATGTACTAAATTACAAGAACGGTAACAATGCAAACTATGGGAGTTTTGTTTTGTAGAGACCCACCTTTCCATGTTTTATCTCCCCCACTGGACAGGGAACTTTTTTATTTCCAAGTTTTGGTTTGTTTTTTTTTTTTTTGTCTTAACATGCTTAGTATCCAGAATACAACCTATGCTCAGTAACTACAGACTGAATTACTGCTCTGAAGTTGTCTCTCTTAAAGAGGAACAAGAAGCGGGAATTCTGGAAAGGCAAACTAAGAAGATTAAAAAAAAAAAGCACAAAGCCATGTCATGTAAGCTTTAGTTGCTTGTCTAAATTCAGTGGCTGGAAATGAGAATAAGGAAAAGTGACTAGTGAATGGGAAGAAAACAGAGCTAGACCCACATCATAGAGGATCTTAAAAAGAATAACTTAAACTGACATCTTGTTCCCTTGAGCTACTAAGGACAATGAAATATTTTGGGATATTTTAAGAGGAAAATGATATGTAGTTACTGTCTTAGCCTTAAGAAGACTATGGTGAATGGTTTCCTTCAAATCGAGCTGGTATTTGTGGCCATCTGAGGAATTTCCACTCCCTAGAGCATCCTGATGGATCACAGTCATGGTAACTGGCCAACACCATAGGTTATACTTGAGACCCTGGGGAAAGAGATGGACAAGACTGCGTTCTATTTAATTAAAGTGATCCAAGGCAGAAAAGATGTTTATGAGTGGAAGATGCTACAGAAATGTACACAAAATGATTGTGGGCAAAATGACTAGTGCAAGGTATAGAATTCTAACTTTTTCTTAGAAACAAACATTCCAATCCCCTCAACCTCGTGTTTTCCATACTCATTAAATCTCTCTGGCAATAATGTCTTCATCGTGCAACTTTCAAAGCAATTGGGTTAATCTTAGGGTCATTTCAAGGCCTAGTGAAGAA